TCCATGCCGGCTCCCCAGCTGTCCTTCCAGAGTTCGTGAGCTCCCATAAGCTCAGGTCAGCTGTCTCTGTGGGTTTGCCCGTCATGCTCTTGATCACCCCTGCTCCTGTAATCCCTCCTTCCTCTCTTCAACTGGACTCCCAGAGCTTGGCCCAGTGTTTGGCTGTGGTTCTCTGCACTGGATGAAGGCTCTGTGATGACAACTAGGGTAGTTACCAATCAGATTACAGAGAAAGGCCAGTTCAGACACCATCTTCACTATTGCTAGGAGTCTTAGCTTGGGTCATCCTTGTAGGTTCCTGGGAGTTTCCCTGGCACCAGGTTTCTCCCTAACCCCATAATAAGAGGCAGGGTTTTAAAAATCTCTAAAGAGTTTTCCTCCCCTAATTTAGGCGTGGTCAATTTGAAAAACAGGATGGTTGAATGGCTCAGAACTGTTGAATGACATGTCCTGAGCAGGCCTTGAACCAGTCCATCAGCAGGGGGCTTGTGGTGGGAGTCAACAGCATACAAGACCTTTCTTTTTAAGTTGCCAGGCTTTTGTCTCAAGCCAGGAGGGTGAGGAAGAAACAGCCATCTTGGAAATTCTCCCCTTATTACCTAGGGATGGACCCTCTTCCTATCTATCTGCTTACCAGGAATCTATCTAACTCCTAGGCAGGAGGCTATCCTTGGTTGATGGTACATGAGGAAATGGAGGGTGGGTGAAGGACTCCTTGCTGAGATCCAGGCAGGCAGGATAATGCCCCGGGTGAGTGTAGGCTGCCAGAGGATGCTTGGGTCTGAGGAGGTCTACAGGTAAGGAGACCTAACGCCCTGGTTCCATTTGCCTTGCAGACTTGGGAGTGAGGTGGGTTAGATGCCATGGGGAAGGAACATGACTGCTGGGACACTTGCTTCCTTTTTCTGTCTGTTGTTAGGTAAATGAAATATCACAATTATGGGCAGCTAGGATTGACTTCCAGGCCCTTTCTGAACAGTGCCACCTGGCTTAACTTGTAAGTCTTCCTTTCAACTTCCCTTTGCCCTCACTGGGAAATTATCTTACTGGTCAAATGAACTCAGGTGTGAATTCTGATGCCCTTTGCCTTCTCTCTTTTCTGTTTAAACTTTATCCTTTGTTTTTCTGAGTGTTCTCAAGCCTGTTTTCATGCTGCCATCTTGACTTGGCTCCTCAAAATGAATGATTTTGTAGAAGAGAAACCAATTTGTCATAGGTTAAGATCTTTAGTGATGAGAGAGAATTGCCTGCCCATGGATGGGAGGTACTGGGAAGAACACAGTATTCTGTGCTCATCCTTGTGTGATGTTCTTGGCTGCAGATTCACCACTTAGTGTAATCATGCAGACACTGGAAATCCAATTGGAGGACCTGTAGAAGTGTTAAAATATCAAGAACATGAAGGCAAAAGAAAAGATTATGAAACTATTTTGGGTTGGAGGGACTGGTTAGATGTGGTAACTAAGTGTGATACTGTGATTGTTTTGAATTATTTTATTAAAGAAATGTTACTGAAAACTCACTGAAACTTAGCCAGTAGGTGATATAACATCATTTCTGTCATAATCTGTGACTGTGGTGAGCATCTTGTGGATATGGAGGAAATGTTCTTGTTTTTAAGAAACATGCTGAGTGACTCAGGGCTTGTAAAGCACTGTGCCATCAATTACCCTCAAACAGTCAACAAAAATATTCTTTGTGGTATTAAAAATGACAAGACTTCAATAGAAAAAGATCAGTTTATATGATTTAGCCTGGAGCTTGGCTGCATTAAATACATTTTTTTAAAAAACGGAAACAAGACAATATAAAAATGTTAGAATTGAAATGCCCCCCAAAATTCACGAGGAATGCTCAAAAGACTTGCCAAAACTTTCACATATAGGAAAAGCACACTTTTGGAGTTTGTTATGACATGGAACATTGATGGGAAAGATCTGTACACAGTAATAACAGGAAAATGGATAAACCAATGAAAACCAAACACTCTGACTTGGCAGGGAGGGAAAGGGTTCATTTCATTTTATACTCCTAAATCACAATCTGTCATTGAGGACAACTGGAGCAGGGATCCAACAGGAATTGAAGCAAACTGTGGAGGGATACTGCTTACTGGCTTTCTCTCTCTGGCTCACGCCCAGGCAACTTTCTTATACAGGCAGGACCATCTGTCCAAGGATGGCACTGACCACAGTGGGCTTGGAACACCTTTGTCAATTAGAAATCCAGAAAATGTCCTACAGACACGTCCACAGGCCAATATGATCAATGCAATTTCCCAATTGTTTGAGGCCCCTTCACATAACTATGGGCTATGTCAAGTTAACAGCTGAAACTAACTAGGAGAAGCCATCAAATGAAAATTTATTTCAATGTTTTTAAAATTTGTTTTTCTTAAACTTTTTTTAAAATTTAAATTTAAATTAGAAACAAGGTTGCTTCACATGTCAATTCCAGGTCCCTCTCCCTTTCCCTCCCCTCTGCCCGTGCCCTCCCACCAACCCCCCCAATATCCCCACATTCCCCCAGGGAGGGTGAGGCCCTCCATGGGGGTGTCCATAGTCTGTCATTTCATATAGGGCAGGGCCTAGACCCTTCCCCAAGAGTTCAGGGTGAGAGTGCACCTCACATTGTTCTATGGGAGTCCAAAGTCCGTGTGTATACTTGGGATGGGTACTGATCTGCTGCCCAAGGCTCAATAGATTCCCTAGGCCTCCTCAGTGACACCCAGATTCAGGGGGTCTTGATCAGTCCCATGCTGGATTCCCAGGCTAATGCCTGGGATTCAAGAGTTAACCTTTGTCTGGTCAGCTGTTTCTGGGGGTTAGACCAGCCCAGTCTAAACACCTTTGGTTATCAGTCCTCCCTCTCTGTCACTGGATTTCTTGAGTTCAGCTCAGTGTTTAGCTGTGGGAGTCTGCCTCTGCTTTCATCAGCCACTGAATGAAGGGTCTGTTTCCCAGACTCTCTGGCCATAGGATTGTAGGCTGGCACTCCCCAGATCTATGTCTAAAATCCATATATGAGAGAGTACATGCCATGTTTCTCTTTTTGTGATTGTGTTACCGCACTCAGGATGGTTTCTTCTAGTGCCATCCATTTGCCTGCAAATTTCAGGATTCCATTGTTTTTTTTCTGCTGAATAGTACTCCATTGTGTAAATGTACCACATTTTCTCTATCCATTCTTTGGTTGAGGGGCATCTAGGTTGCTTCCAAGTTCTGGCTATTACAAATAATGCTGCTATGAACATAGTGGGACAGACATCCTTGTTGTATGAATGGGCATCTTTTGGATATATGCCTAAGAGTGGAGTTGCTGGGTCTTGTGGTAGGTTTATTCCCATTTTTCTGAGGAATCTCCATAATGATTTCAACTTTTATTGTGTGAGAATTTCATCCATGTAAGAACTTTAAAACTTTTATTTATCTATCTATTTATTTATTTTGGTGGCACATGCACGCAGGAGGTTGAGACGGGAGTATAGTGAGCTTTGAGTTCGGCTTGGACTGCACAATGAAGCCCTGTCTCAGGGCAAAAGAAAACAAACAAACAAAAAACCCCAAAAACCTCACCAAAAATCCCACTTTCAATCAGTTCACAAGATGCAAAAAGCTGATGACTAAAAGTATGAGGAGGGGTTTACCACTTTAAAATTCTTGCTTCCTTAGCAACTGTTGTAACCCCATCCCTGTCACTGTCATGCCCCACTTCAGTGCCAGGTCCAGCCAAGATTCTCTGGGTGGATGCACGCACAGCCTGTTCCTTAACTTGAGACACACTATAGGTACAGCTGTGACCCAGCAGATGTGCGAACGAGCACACCCAGCATGCTGTCTGTGTCTTTCTGCAAGAACCGTTTTTCTTTTTTGTCAGTTTCTTCTTTCCCATTTGATGTCCCCTAAGGTGTCTGGCAGTTTACGGCTAGAAGATGGCATCCCAACTTGCAGTTTCTAGGACAGCTTAGTTTCTTAGGCAGTGAAGGTCATGTAACAACTGACTAATTTATTCTCTTTCATTCTGAAAATTAGGGAAGTTTTTATTAGGTTCCTCACAGGACTTTTAAAAGTTTATATAGTGTATTTAATAATGAATATTAATCAGCTCATACAATTTCCAGGGCATTCCAATTATTGTCTGAAAACAGGCAGCCAGGAAAAGTCCCCAATTTCTATTTTGTCTTAGTAGTCACACAATCCCTGATGTTAATCACAAGCATGGAGGGTCATCATTACATTCTGAAAGGGAGCCCTGCCACGAAGACCATGGTTATATATTGAGGGTCCTTAAAACTCTGTGCCTCTGTCTAAGCAGAGCTGAGAAATACATTCCACATGAAATCTCTTTCCTCCTGTCCCTCTCTTCTCAACTCAGGACTGAGGCGCCTGGTGCTTGTCACTGATGGAGCCTGGATCAAGCAGATCCACTTTGTAGCTTTCAAAGAACACAAGTTATCAAGTATGCTTCTCTTCACAGGTCTTGTAATTCAAACTGAAAAATCAAATATTCTTAAACGACATTGGACACATGTAAATTCAAAGCCTGTCCGCCAAAGGAAAGAACTTTGCAGTCACAGAGCACAATCTTCAGCGCCCACCTCCACGTGTTCTGTTTCTGCTCAAGCACCGCAGTGGTTGCTTTCCCTTTCCGTTGAAGGTTTTCTGATCCTCCTCAATTATCCTAGCTAGGGAAGAGTTCTTGGGTGGTCCCATTTCATATCTCACTGTGCAGAGTTTCTTGGGACAGGTATATTAGTGGATAAAGATGCCAATTCTAGTAATAGGAAAACTTTATTGTTGCAAACCATCACACACCCCCCTCCAACCACGTCATCCCCTGCCCAAAGTGTGATCCAAGATGAAGGAACCAGGAAAAATGATGTGGAGTTAAGGAGGGAGCAGGGATATCTTCCATACATATGAGTCAGAAAGGCAGGGTAAATAGAGTGTAAAGGAAGAAAAACACCTGGACCTTCTAGAATGAGGTCTGGGGGGGTTATCTTAGATTTTGAAGTTACAATAATCTAAATGGCAACATTTATGAACATAAGTCCGATTGTTGAAGATGTACACCAAGTTGTTGCAGAATCTCTGACACACCATATATGATATCTGGAGAGTGTTATCTGCAACAGAAGACAACCAAAGATGTTAGGTTTGTGTCCTCAGTGTCCAAGGCAGACCATACCTGGCCTTAACTAGACAGGTTTATGGATGGCCTCCCAGTGTCCCCTTCCCAAGAGCACCAATGCAGAAATTTCTGGAAAGCCATAAGGTTGACTTGTTTGCCTGTGGTCACTGATGACTCAAATCAATGCATCTGCTTCCTTCCTTCTGCTAGAAATTAAGAAGAGCAGGGCAATATCTGTTTGGCTGGTTTTGTCCTGCCATGCATCTTCTGCCTGCCTTCTAGGTCTGTGCCCTCCAGGCTCAGGGCACTTTTTACTGTGGCCTGGGCCAGAGATGCCCAAGCAACCCTGCAACTTACTGGAGTAGATCCTCAGGCTCATGCAGGTTTCGTACTTCTGAGCCTCGCAGATGCCAAAGCCTCTTCTACAGTGGTCCGACGGTGTGCGAAAGTGGCATGTCACACACTTCAGTGATGTTGCTTCTGGAGAGAGCACAGAGCTTGGCATGAGGGCAGGGACGGTGAGAGAGATGCCAAAGCTGGGTGAAGTGACCTTCCAAGGCTGGGTGGGCAGTCGATGGACTGATGATTGAGCGTTTAGAGAGTGACAGTTGACCCTTCATCAACTTTTTTTTTTTTTGCCTTTAGTGATGGAAATAAAAAGGGCATTGAGCATATGAAAAAAGAATTCTGGTCTCAATTTCAGCCTTCACCTTCTGGGTGACATTCTCTCAATGGTCCAGAGCTCATCTATTTGGCTCCGCTGACTGGTCAGTGAGCTTCAGGGATCTGCCCATCTCTGCCTCCTTAGCACTGGGGTTATAAGCACACCACAAGATCTGGCTTTGTTTTAGGTGAGTTCTGAGGATTGAACTCAGGTCCTTGTTCTTGGGCCGCACAAGCTATGTCTTTAATTCGTGTAAAGATTTGATACAGTTTATTTCTCTAGCTTAAAAATGATCAGTGAGTAAAACCTTCAAAAGTTTCTGGAAGAGGGAATAATTGAAATATGGGTTCAACTGAAAAACTCTTTGCAGAGGCTGGTGGGCAGACTTAGCAGTTGAATGTACTGTCATGCCTGATTAACCTGAGATTGAACTTTAGGACCCACTGGATGGAAGGAGAGAAATTACTTCCAAAAGCTGTCTTCTGCCCACATGTATAATATGACATGTGCAAAGTACACACACACACACACACACACACACACACACACACACACACACAAACACAATGTTTAAAAATTTCCCCATGGTGCTAAAATGAGAAAGAATGTAGCTTTTATTAACCATCTTATTAGGGTTATGTTGTTTCAAATTATATTTGATTTAATGCACTATTTTCTGATCTCATGAATCTTGTAGGAAGGTTTTGTCTCCATGTGTCAAATTAGAGAATTCAGGACAGTGACTGGACAAGTTTGGGAAAATCTGCCTGATTCTAGGGTGTACAGAATTTCTTCTCCTAAGCAGCTTGTAACAAGGTCCCTGAAATGACTATCAGAAGCCAATGTCCATCACAAGATTTTTGAATGACCAGCTCCCTCAGCAACATAGATTTGTGAATAGAACGGATGCTTTAAGGAGATCTCCTAGGCATCTAGATAATGAGGTTTGGCAGTGGCAGTAACAAAATAAAGGCTTTTCCAGAGTGCTGGAAAAGACAGAGAAGATGGAAGAGAAGGCAGAGAGAGCTTCTGAAGGCCATCTCCCTTCCTTCCCTCCGAGATATGGTCAAAGATCAGCCCACATGGACATGGTTGTACACATGGAGATTCACTGCAGTTCCTTTGATCCTGCCCCTGGAGCTCATTCCTCTGGTCTGGGACTCACCCACAATGAGGCAGAAGAGGGAGAAGAGCATCAAGGAGTGCCTGTTCATTTGGCCTCAGAGGTCTTGTGAGGAGCAAATGTACGCAGGGCTATAAGCAGAGGTCTGCTGGGCTCCAGCCTTCTCCTCCAGCAGCAGCCGTGATTATTCATGCCTAAGGGGAGTCAGTCACACAAGGTTTATTTTGAGAGCTCAAATTCATTGGCTGTGGACTCCATGGTCTTGACACCTGGAGCCCAAAGTTGAGCAGGTAGTTTTAAGGTAAAAGGACCCTGAAATGTAAAAATTTCTTGGTTAAAAGCTAGTCTTTTAATTCAATCTTTGAGCCTGTGGGCAGCCTTGTGCTTGCTGGAAACCCAAGGTGCCCGAAGATTTTAAGCCAAAATGTCTGTGATTCTGTCATGAACAGAAGACAGGGATGGCAGAAAGTGGGCAGCAGGGGAGGTCTAGATTTTCCTTTTTGCTTGCCCTGCAAAGGGTATCCCCTTCCCTGGAAATCATACTGAGTATATTATAGGACTGCAACTTAGAGGTGTCTGGACACCTGAATGCAAACTTCACTGACCAGCTCAGCTCACCTCCATTCTCTCAGCACGAGATCTGAAAGGAAGGGGACTCCAGTTACTTGGGGTTCATTGTTTCAATATCATAAAACTATTGTCTGATATGTTAGATTGAGGGACAAAAATGTCTGCAGGTTGCTTACAGCACGCTGCATGGCTTAGGGAATAATGACAAGGAAAGCTGATTTTTTTTCCCTGAAAACTTTCAATGCGCAGTCGGATGCAGAAGCTGTGGCTACCAAATGACAATACTGTCACTGCTATGGTATTGCCATTCTTGCCTTATCTCCACAGAGGAGGGAACTAAGGCTTGGTGAGGTACAGCGTCATTCCCATGGCCACATACCTGGTGACTATCAGTCCTAGTACTTACAGTGAGTCTCTCTAATTAGATTTCACACTTGTCACCACTATGATTCAATGCCTCTTTGAAACTTATTCATACATTCAACATACAGCCACTGCCCCTTGTGTGAGAGAATAATGAGCAAGGCAGCTAAGCTCATCTGGCCCATCTCCTTATGAGGAAGAGAGAGGTTAGAGAAAGAGAGAGACACATAGCCTGTGACCAAGCTGGACCTTCAACCTACAACTTCTGATTCCTTCCTTGGGTTCCCCCTATCAGAAATCTGTCCTTTTAGGTCAGAGACAATGTACTGTGTGGGGCTGTCACATCACCCTTCCATTTATATCATCACACAGTGAGATATTAGGGTCAGAGACTGACCCCTGACACTTCTGACAAACTAGGATCAGCATTTCTATTTAAGAGACAAAGCAATGGTATAAGCAGAGATTTATGTGGCCACATTAGGAAGAGGGACAAGTAAAATGATCCATTCCCCTCCCCCGGAGGTCCTGGGGGTCCCTCCCCCTCCTTATTTTCAGGATCCTGAAATGGAGTTTGGGTTTAAACAGAGGTAAGACATATGTATAATTAAGAAGTCTTGGTCAAAGAATCACTCTGCTCATCATTAATCTGACTTCACCCTGGCCTCCTGTGTTGATGCCCATCTCTGTGAAAGACAACTCAGCTAATGTTCCCATATGGCAAATCTCAGCACCCTGTCTCCTAAGTCAATCGGCGGATGGTGTCTTGGCTAGAAATGCTAGATGCATTTTATACTGAATGGAGTTTTACAAATAATACTTATTTGTATGAAAAGTTCACTCATTAAAAGAGACGAGTCTTCTGGGCATAGTGGTGTACACATAATAGTCCCAGGAGTGTGGAGGCAGAGACAGGAGAATAATAAGTTCCAGGTCAGCCTAAGCTACACAGCAAAACCCATCGTTTCTAGAAAATCCAGGTCTAGGGATATAGTGAAGGGAATAGTGTTTTCTTAGATGTGAAAAGACCCTAAATTGATCCTCATCTCAGGAAGGAGGGAAAAAAGGAAGGAAGGAAAAAAAGAAGGAAGGAAAGAAGGAAGGAAGAGAAAAAGAAAGGAAGGAGAACAAGATAATCAGATGGGGGAGGGTAAGGTTTTAGGTGAAATTCCAGAGAGTTTGCAAATTTTCTTTTCTTTTAAAACTGTTTTATCACATTTTTATTTAAGTGTGTGTGTGTGTGTGTGTGTGTGTGTGTGTGTGCAACATAGCACACTATGGAAGTCAGAGAACTCTCAGGAGTCGGTTCTTTTCTTCCACTACATGGATCTTGGGGCTCAAACTCAGGTCATCTGGCTTTGATGGCGAGCCTTTACCAATGGGCAGTTTGGTGGCCCCAGAGCATTTCTTTTCTATGACTCATCAGCGTGTGGATCTTTATTTTACCATGTAGAGATCTGAAGAGGAAACAGGTCCACAGCTTCTATAATGAAGAGTGAGACTTTGAATCTTTTTAATCTAGTTTTCTATTCTGCCAGGTTTTGGTAAAAAAAAAACCATAGGAACTGGATGGGATTTTCCAGCAAATTCCTGGCTTAATCAAGAAGCCAGGTCTAGGAGATGGTTCAGAGGTTAAAAGCATTAGATGCTGTTTTGCAGAGGACTGGAGTTCGGTTCCCAGCACCCTGGGGTGGCTCACAACGATCCTTAAATCTCATCCAAATGATCTGATGTCCTCTTATGGCTTCCAAAGGCACCAGGAATCCATATGGTGTATTAAATGCATGCAGGCAAAACACTCCTCATAAAATAAAATAAATAAATCTTGAAGAATAAAGAAGGCAAATCCTAGAGCTTTTGTACCAATAGCATCTGGACCACACTGCTACTCAGGCCCCAGGCCTCACATAGCCTCTCTGCCTACAAATGCTGACCAATGACTAAAAGCCCAGCTGACTCTAGTTAGCAGACTGCCAAGTGCCTGGGTTTCTTGCCTCAGGGAGTGAGTTTATATTAACGGCAGCCATATCCAGCACCCTCCTCTCCCTTCTCAATTCCTGCTTGGCAATCAGATTTCTTAATTGCAGGCTCATGCTGTGAACCCCCTTCTTCAGATACCTATAAGAAGAGACCCTCAATCTGCCTTGTGGGCTTGAACAGCTCCAGGACCCCAACCATGTTGTCTCTGGTGCCATGGTCTGAACTCTCTCCAGGGACTCATGATATTGTCCGTCTGTCCATGTCATGAATAACCTTTCTAATAAATTTACCCCTAGGCATCCGCCTTGCTATCACCCTTGAGCTTCACATCTGAGACTTTTCAAGACTTTCCAGGCATTTAGTTTGTCCCTTGTTTGCCCTGCTTCACTCTCTGTTGAAAGGCAGAGTGAATGGAGAATTATGCCAACGGTAGCACATGTTCAGGGTCCCCTGGAGTGGGCTTGCACAGGGTCTGTTCTTCCTGGAGGGACCTCCTTAGCAGGCGCTTCTCTGAGATGACCAATGAGGCTTGAACCTCTAGCCTACCAACTCATTTCTAGATTGGTGGTGAAAGTTTGCCATTCCATCCAAATTCTGGTGTACTCTGATACAGTCTTCATTTTCCCATAGGCTCTGATCCATCCAATCTCCTTCTGAAAAAGCAGTGTGTTTCTTAGCTCACCAGGAAGCAGCAGAGACCAGACATCAAAACCTGTGAATGGAGAGTAAGTGTTATAATGGAAAGCATTTTCCTGAGGGTTGTGGTGAAGCAGGAGAGTAAGGTGAGGGGTGAGGTTCAGCTAACTTGAATAAACAGAGAATAAACCAGTTGGTAGAGAAGGTGATTGCCCCCAACAAAGTTAACGTGTAACAGCCCATGTGCAAATAAACCTGCATTGTGCAAACGGCTTTTAAAAATCCCAGTCCTCTGGGCATGAGGCCATGAGCATCTATCCTTCCTCCTAGCTCCAGCTCCCTCCTTCCTTTGTGGGTGGATTCTTTCTTAGTAAAGTCATAGAAAAGAAATTCTCCAGGGCCACCAAACTACCCATTGTTAAAGGCTCACCCTCCAAGCCTGATGACCTGAGTTTGAGCCCGATGATTTCTGCCACTGTCTATGACTCTGCCCAGTTGCTCATTCTGGGATACAAAGACCTGAAAATCTCAACAGGTGACCACTGAACTCCAATATCTACCAATGTCAGTTGGCAAGCCAGCCCCTCAGGAGGTAAGATTTATGTCTCTAATACCTTTGTTTTTGGATTTTTAAAATTTAAATTAGAAATAAGCTTGCTTCACATGTCAATCCCAGCTCCCTCTCCCTCCCCTACTCCCCTGCTCCCCCCCCCCCCAGTTCCCCACCCAATCCCCACTCCACTCTCCAGTCTGTCATATCATCCAGCGGAGGACCTGGGCAGGTGGAGAGAGCATTCCCTCCATGTGGGATGGGCTCCCAAAGTCCATTTGGATGCCAGGGATAAATACAGATCTATTGCCTGAGGCCCCAAAGAATGCTGAGGCCTCCTTGCTGACACTCATGTTCAGGGGGTCTGGATCAGTCCTGTGCTGGCATCTCAGCTATTAGTCTGGGGTCCATGAGCTCCCCATCGTTCAGGTCAGCTGTTTCTATGGATTTCACCCTCACAGTCTTGACCCCTTTGCTCATCATTCCTCCCTCTCTGCAACTGGTTTCCAGGAGTTCAGTTCAGTGTTTATCTGTGGGTGTCTGACTCTGCTTCCATCAGTCAGTGGATGAAAGCTCTAGGATGGCATACAAGGTAGTCATCAATCACATTATTGGGGAAGGGCATTTAAGGTAGCCTCTCAACTATTGGTTAGATTGCCACATCTCTCCTCAAACCTATAATGACTACCTCTATTATGGTATCGCTCATCCTGATTTCCTCTAATCCCCCCCCCCCCCGACTCAATCTTCCTGCTCCCCCATGTCCTCCTCTCCCCTCCTCTTCTCCCTCCCTCTTTATTCCAGCTTCCTCTCCCCTTCCCCCATGCTCTGGATACCCTCAGAAGATCCTATCCTGTTCCCCTTCTCTGGGGTACCATGCATATCTCTCTTAGGGTTCTCCCTGTTTTCCAGACTCTCTGGCAGTGGGATTGTAGGCTGGCACTCCCCTGATCCATGTCTAAAATCCATATGTGAGTGAGTACATGCCATAT